AGGGTATGTGGGTTGGGGCTGTTTTCTTTTTTCCTCCAGGAAAATACAGGATCTGACCCAAAAACACCTCCAGGGGACAGCACTAGACCCCGAGGAGCCTGAATCCCCCAGCAAAACATGGACCTTGCAGGCAACCAAGAGGACTCCACAGTTATGCTCCCATGGGACACGACTGGAGAGATCTTTGGGTTGCTGTGGTTTAAAAATAACAATAATAATAATAATAATAATACATCCTATACCTTCTGCACTGCAGAAATGGGAAAAAAAAATCCATGCAATCATTGTCTTTTTTTTTTTTTTTCCTTTCCTTCTTTTTGCCAACTGTGCAATCACTGTAGTTCCTTACTTTGGAAGGAAAACTCATGGTACTTCCATTTCCAGGGATGATGCTTCCATAACAAGGCATTGGTTTAACTTGGGACGCTTGGAATCACTTCGGTTATGTCAGGCTGATGGCCTGGCTACTGCTGCTGAAGGACAGAGTAAAAAATTTGATGAGGAAGATCTGAGTTCAAAAACTTCAAAAGATCTGAGTTTTTAAATGGTTCTGTGTTGTAGTTTTCCATTTTAAATAACTGGTACAACTGTCCTCGTTCATAAACCGTTCCACCAAAGGTGAATAGAGGAAAATAGTTTTAAACCCCACATGTGCAACATCCTCAATGGGAACAAGTCTCATGTTCATCTACTGTCAAACATTTAAGACTGTAAAACTGCTGCTGTAGGGCAGTATCACCCTGGATATTTCCAAGTCTGCTATTTTCCTACTAATACTATTTTTGGCTCTTTATTAAATAAGCAGCAGCCTGAAGAAAGCCAAGACAAGATCTCCCTCTTCTTCTCCCACGCCAACGTCATCGCAGTGCCTGGCACTGTAATTCCAAAGTCCTCAGCAACACAAATTCTGATTCATCAGTAGGCATTGTGGTCACCTGGTCATGCTACCACAGTCGATGGGCTCCCAAATCCATGACATTTAAAGTCACTCATCACTGCACCAAATGGGAGCTCTGGCCCTCCTTAAATTTACCCAGCTCACTGATGCCCCAGGATGGTGGTACAGCAAGAGAAGTGAAATCCCAGGAATAAATTAATCCCCATTTTGGCAAGTCTCTCTTTTTAAAGCTACCTCAGAACAGTTCTGAGCTGGCCAGGCTTCGCCGTCTGATTTCTCTCATCTCCCTTTCCACGCCATATCGACAGATCTGTTAACTACCAAAGCAACACCCACTGCAAGGCTTTGCCCACAAGGAACCAGACCTCCTCTTGTCCAGCCTGAGTGTGAAGGTCTCCTGTGTCTAAGAGCTTTAACTCCATAAAACCTGATCCCACAGTCTGTAGTGCTTACTCATGGGTAATCCTCACGTAAATCCATGGGAATACTCACAAAAGAGCCCTGCATTCACACTCAGTGCAGCACAAGAGGAAACAACCCAAAAAACCTCTCTAAGTTCTTCTGTCTTAAGGGCCTCTAAGACACAACATCCTTCTTTGTTATTGTTTTATAAATAAATGTATCCTGTTATGCACAGACATTCTGGGATGAGTTTTCCAGCAGAAAATGGAGGTTCAGACATACGTGGTGTATCCTCTCAGGAGTCAGTGGAGATCTAGACATATTCTTGCAACTACCAGAATGTGTCAAACAACCAACCAACAAGACCTGGGAAGAAGTATGTAAGGAAAAAAAATATTATACTGCCTTAAAAGATAAACCTTCTCTTTCCCTTTCTCCTGGTCCCTAAATGCAATATGAATTCTGTACAAGGACCAGGTCCACCAAAGCAGGCAACCCTCACAGATGGCTTTCTGTGTCCCATAAATAGTGGTCCACAAGCATGTTTCTGGTGCGTTTCCTGAGTCCAGGGCTGGTCTTTTTATGGAACTGTCCAAAGGAATTACAGTGCATTGTTAACAAGGTTATTTGGAAAAAAAAAAAATAAAAATCAGAGTAACCAACTCTCCATCCAGTCTTGAAGGGGAGAAACATGTTCACTTTGAAGTGGCAACAGAGATAAGGACCCAGTCCCTTCAGAGCAGTGCTCCTGTACCCTCATTTTCTCCTGGCACAGCTATCTTAGGTCAAAGGTGCAGGTTAAGCTGAGCCTTTTTTTTGTTTACAGGCAAAACAGCAACCTTCCCTGCAGGGAGAAGAGACACCAGTGGCTCCACACTACCCTCGGGTGCTACTGTGATTTCAATCCCTTTGTCCAACAACACGGGTTTAAGACTCCCCTTTTCACACAGGGCAGGGCAAACAGCATGTAAACAGTTCTGGAGGGCTGGGAAAAGGATAATTTAATGGACTGCTTCGGCACATCTTCACAGCTTCACTGTTTGATCCATCCCCACACAGGGACACAAGGAGCCACTGCTTGGCTGCTGCTGCTCCTTTCTCCAGGCAGTCTGCTCATGTTGAGCTGGGACATTTCCCTTCCACCTTGGCTGTTGAAACAAAGCCCCAGGAAGCAGTTCTGCCACACTCTGGCAAATTTACATGATGTCCTCCTGGTGAAAGGCTCCCGTTAAAAATATTACATACAACCATCTGCCAGGACACCTTCAGCTAGGCAAGCCTTTCCCATACAACTGAAATCAGAAGTTGTTTGCTGGAGACACTTCCAAAAAGGAAAAGTAAGGGTCAGCAGACATGCCAAAAATAAAACCCAGGGCAAACAGAGGTTTCACTTCTCTTGTCCTTTTTGTTAAAAGCTGCATAAAAGCATCCCAGAAGGACTCTGAGTGTACTTCATGGCCACTGGGGACTTAAACCCTCTTAAAGCATTAACAAGAGCTCCAAGATTTTAGCTGAAGGTAAGTGAACAGAGATCAAAACACACGGAGCCCCCAGGGCACCCCCACATCTGGGCTGTCGGGGAGGTGACAAGACAAGCAGATGACCCCGTGGGGCTTCACTCGTGCTCTGCTGAGAAGGTCCTGGGTTTGGTGATGTGTACCTCGCTGCCCCCGCTGCCGTTGGTGGTGGTGGTGATGATGTACTGGGTGGTTTGCTGTTGGCTGCTGGGCTGGGACTCCAGGGGCTCTGGGGGCGCCGGGGGCTGGGAAACACCCACCTGCACCTCGCTGGGCAGAGAGGATGTTTGCTTGTCCAGGTCGGGCTGACCCTCCGAGATCACGTAGTGAGTCTGCAGGGGGCACAGAAAGGGTTATTGATCATTGCATTGTCTGTGACTTCTCTGCTCTAATGGTCTGCTGGGAGGTATTTTGGGATCAACAAGGAACTGCGAAATCAAACTCTTTCATTTAACTATTTGAGAGCAACATAATGCTTGTCTTTTGATTTGAAGGACATTGGACTTGGCATTTGGATAATTTATGAATTGTTAAACTCATTACACGATTACCCCACCACTACAGATTAAAGTAACAATTTTGAATACAAGTATTCTGCAAGGTTTATTCTATATTCCATGTGTTCTAGCAGAAACTGCACTCCCAGTGTCCAGTACCAACCCAGTCAATGGCCTGCCTGCCTCCTCGTGCTGGACTGCTTACAAGGTAAGCTTGGATTGCTTACAAGAAACTCCTCTTATTTTTAATAACCTTACAGATAAAAACAAGCTATCAAAATGTTCCCAGAAGCTGCTCTGAAATTTGGTTCAATACATACAGCTTAATCATAAATATTTTTAAGACTAAGCAGCGCCACTAAATAATACTTTTGTCCTGCAAATGTGATTAAAAGAACACTTTAAGCTGGAAGGAGTCATACACACCAGGGCCAGACAGTGTGGGCTTTGTAAATAGCTACACGCAGACGGTACTGTGCAGTCTGGACCTCTTTAGGTACCACACTATGATTTTCTCTGTGCCCCAGCCATCAATTTGGCATTGCTTTAACCTTCAAGCTGAAGACTTTACGTCTGATATATTATTCTGGATGAAGAAACAGCCACGATTGTTTTCCTTACCTGAGTAACTGCTTTCACTTGCCCTGTGTTGACAGTGGTGACCGGGGTACCCACAGCAGTCTCTGTGATCACATACTGCCCTTGAGGGATGGTCATCATCTGAATCTCTGATGCTAAAACACAAAAATTGGAGAATCAAGACTTTGAATCAAACCCAAAGACAACTTTGAAAGATCATGTCTTACATCAGTAAGATTTAAAGTCTGAAACAGTGGGTGTTGAACAGAAATTCAGGTGCTGTAAAGCCCTGTCAGACTCCACAGGCCTCAACAGAATTATGCCAGGCAACTCCTGCAGAGACAACACACCCTGTTCTGACCCAAATCATCATAGAATTACCAGCCAGAGCTGCATGGACATAAAAAATTGTCTCCTGTCACCCTCCTCTTCTGTACAGTTCTTTCAAGCACCCATTGCTGATGTCCAGTACATGGATTCTTGCTGAGTGCAAGTTCTTTGGAATAAAGGAGCCCAGTGTGCCTGCCCAAACCACACATGGAATCAGAATGGACCTACAGCAGAAGAGCTACAACAACCATCTGCATTTGTCTGAAAGCTTATCTTCCTGATCTCTACGAATATTAACCACGAAGCTTAATGAGCTCTGAAAACACAATCCTGTTTGGTAGCTGGGGCACGTGTGAGTCACACCCACTGGCCAGGCAATAGTGAGAGTGCTGTGACACTCACAGTAGCTCCTGAAGGAGTTCCAATTGCTGGGGAGATAGGTGTGCTGGACTGAGGAGCCCTGCTGCTGCTGCAGGCCCTGGTTTGGTGTCGACGTCGCAGTCTGCATCTGTGAGGGGCTGAGTTCCTGCTGGGGTTGTTGCGAGGAGGGGCTCAAAGGCTGACCTCCAACCTAGAGGAAAAAAAAAAGGTGGAAGTGTTCTTGGTGTGGTAAGGATTGCACAGCTCTGTGCTCTTACAAACACATCCTTCTTATGAAGGGAAAACACAGGGTGGGTTCCAGAGCACACAGAACACAAGAAATGCAAAGCTCTCCTCCTTCTCCTCTGACTTGCTTCAGTTTACAGCCAGTAAGCACAGACCAGGAAAACAGAGATGCTGTTTGCCAAAGTGAGTCTGTGGCAGAGAATGGGGATCAGAGGTTAAATTCTACCCAAGAGCACAAACAGCTGCATTTCAAACATTTGAGGAATGCCAGTTTCCATCTACATCTTTTAACCAACAAACTCCATTTAAGCTGCAAATTTTTCTGTTCCCAGCTATCTATCTCTAACTTAAGAGTGGAAAAAACCCCACCAAAAAACCCACACAGCAAACACCCCAAACAAAACCACAACAAAACACCCCCATACACCCTGGGACACCTGGGAACTATTTGATGATCTCAGAGATGTTCATGTGAGAGTCATTTCATGTGTTGTCCTTTAAAATGACACAGAAAAGACTATCTCCTGCCTCAGCACGTGCAATATGTCAGCTGAACAGACTGGTAGGGAAAAAGATTCCCTGCAAGAGAAGAGGGCAGTACCTGTGGTGATGTCTGAGCTGCTGGGGATGGCTCTGTGACCTGGATGTGCTGCACCTGGATGGCATGTTGGGTGTACGTCTGGGGGTCGTGGAGCTGCCCAACGTCCACCGTGGAGTGCTGGGACTGGTGAGGTGAGGTAGCCTGGGGGAAAAAAGAAGATAAGCAGAGCTCTGCATCAAGACAAGGGACCAGAGGCTTTGAATGGATTTTCTGAACAACACCTGCTAATGATACCAATTGCAGTAACTTAACTGCCAAGTCTCAGGTCTTGATAAAATTAAGGTCTTGGTAATATTAGTAATACTGCAGGAATCAGTACCCATGCTCTTGTATGGTTACAACAGCCACAGTCACTATTAACTGGGGCCATTATTTAGGCCTCTATTAACCCAATTCATAACCTGATTTGTAATGAGGGGCCAGAGAGAACACAAAATTTCAGATTCAAATCCAAAGACAGGGTAGTTTCAGCTTTACCCAGTAGATAACAGACTTGAAGGCTACAGTGATTCCTTACAGCTGCCTGAGATATCTTGCTCAGTTACTCCAGTTACACTCTGGTTTTATTTTTAGGAGGCTGTTGAGCACCAGGGAATGAATATTCTAATAGATGACACGAAGGGAACAAGCAAGCACTCTCTGTACTCCCAAATTTTGGCTCCAGCTCACTGAGAGCAAGGAAGTACAAATTAGTCTTGAACTGCAGAAAACAGGTCACCCACTGACCCACTTTTCCAGTTGCTGGAAAACATTCCTGGAGCAGACTCGAGCGAGGGTGCCCAGATGGGGAGAATGAAGTCTGGACTGTGTTGGTATGTCTCCAGCAAGCTGACCAAGGCTGGCAGGACTGTTTATGCCCAGTACACAATGCTTATGAAGGGAACCCTATGAATTATCAATTGATTTATCTGTAAGAAGTGGTCTGCCTGCACCACCTTTTGCAACTACTCCTTAACAAACTTCTGAGTGCGACAGCCCCCAGAATGCACAGGCTTGGGGTGGAAGGGGGCAAAGGCACAGCAAGACCCCCAGCAGGTCACTCACCTGGGCCACTTGGACAACCTGCAGCTGTATGTGCTGAGGCTGCTGCAGGCCAGTTGTGGACTGGGACACAGGGATGTACTGGATGCGCTGGAAATCCCCCTGGGGAGTCCGGTAGTCCGTGGTGAGGGTCTGGGATATCTCTGTCATGGCCTGGGTCAGCAAATCTGTTGTCTGAGCAGGGAGAGAGAGAGAGAGATGCAGACCATCTATTGACACACTTTTGCAGGGCTGCAGTTCTTTCCTCACACTGAATCTGCACCCACCTTGGGCCTGGTCATTTATTTACAAGAGCTTAATGTGTGCAGAGGTTGGGGTCATAAGTAATCACCAGGGATCATCCACTAGAGGACCATTAAGGGGTAACCTACCATACCATAATAAAAATAATTATTTTAACCTTCTGACTTAACAATATTCTATTAGGCAACAAAAGTCCTGCATTTGTAAGAAGCTGACTTCATTTCCAAGTCAAAAAGTGCTTCATGGTCATATTCCACCTTTCCTCCTCCAGTGATACTTTCCTTGACAACTGTAGATGTTTCTAAAGTAAGTAAAGCCATTTAATATCTAATTAGTGGGGTTTATGAAGCCAACAGCATCCCAGTTGAACCTCTCATTTTTCAAGCAAAACAGTCTTTTATCCACTTAGTCTTCAAATAGTTTTAAACTGTGATCAATAGGATTTCTACAACTATGCAGCATCCCAGCACCACTGAAGGATTCATGTCAGATTTTCTATCTCAGCTTTCACTTCTGTGGCAGCTGATGTATTAACAGTGGAGATCAGCCACTGGAGATTCATATCAGTCAGTGCTGCACTGTCCAAAGGACTACAGTGTCCCTGAACACAGTTGGATCCAGTTCCCAGTCACCGTTAAAACATGTTCTCACGATCCCAAGAACTGCAAGCACCTCAGGGGAGCTGTCCCAGTGAAAATCCGTGAGATGTGTGTTCCTGAGTTCACTAGGCATGTGTGAATATATTATGTGGAATCAGTAGGTCTGAATGAAAGAAGGGAATGGACTTGGGGAAAAAAGGCAAACCCTCAAGAGCTCCAGCAAGAAATACACAGTTCCTGGCAGAGCAAAACTAAACCAGACTCAAAACCAGACGTGACCTCAAATCACGTCCTTACGCAGCCTTTAAAACGACGTCTGCCAAGCAAACTGAGATCACCAATCCCAGAGGGCTGTGCTGTGGCTGTTCCCCTCCCCTGGCTGCAGCCCTTACCACCACAGTCTCTCCAGTGCTGCTGTCAGTGGCCAGCACAGCGGGGGTGGAGCTGATGACGGCCGTGGCCAGCGGGGCGTGGATGGCGTTCGGGAGCTGAGCGAACTCGGGGTGCTTCTTACGGATGTGTTGTACCATCTTTGTCTGCAGAAACACACAGTGTCAGAAGGATGGGCAGGGACACTGCTTGGGGCCATGGGAAATGAGGGTGGTTGGCACTGAACAGGCTCCCCAGGGCACTGGGCACAGCCTCAAGGCTGCCAGAGCTGCAGGAGGGTTTGGATGATCCTCTGGGGCACTCTTGGGGATGGGCCTGTGCAGGGCCAGGGGTTGGACTCGAGGATCCTTGTGGTGCCCTTCCAACTCAGCATATTTTGGGATTCTGTGGAATCCATCACTCCAGCCAACTGCAGCTTTTAGATTTCCCTCAGTGAGGCAGCATCACGATTCACACTATGGGATGCTCTGGTCAAGAAACAAGGATCAGAAAGCTGCTGCTGATTAGAGCTACCTGACATTGAAATATTGCCCCAAATGGCACATTCAGTAGATTTTTACCCCAGCACAGCCCAGTATTTTGGGGACTTTTTCCAAAGGTCATCTTTCCTGTGTTTTGTTTCCCCACTCCTCTCCCTTGTAACCGTCAGTGAGCATTTTCCAAGCCTTTCCATTCGTGATCACGCTCCGGTAACTTTTCCATTCCTTCTTTCAAGCTTGTGCCCTCTATTCAGGGAACCTTTCAGCCCTAAAACAAGGAGGCTGTGCCTGCACTGTCAGCACACGGCACGAAACCAGCGCTCTGACTCAGACTAAGAGTGACAGGTGACAGGGTGGTGAAAGAACATCACCAGGGACAGGCTGTGCCTTTTGGGGGCCCAAACACCTCGTACCTTGCTGCTGTACTGCTTGGAGCAGTGAGGGCAGCACACAGGGGGGGTGGCAATGGTGCCTGTGAGCTGGGTGTGGGTGCTCAGCATGGGATCCGGCTCTCCCGGGCCCGCAGGACGCAGCTTGCGGATGCTGGGGGGCAGCTCAGCACCGGGGTGGTTCTTCAGGATGTGTGCTTTGCGTTTGCTGGCACTCTTGTACACCTGCAGGGGAAAGATTTTGGGGTTAGAATGGTGCAGTGCTGATGTCTGCACAGAGCACAGGTAGCAGTTCTCTCCATCTGGAAGGGTGGGCGTGTTGCTGCGCAGGGCAGTGGTCACGGCCCCACGCCTGCCTGAGTTCAAGGAGTGTTTGGACAACACTCTCAGGCAGTGGTGGGATTGCCGGGGTGTCCTGCACAGGGCCAGAAGTTGGACTTGATGATCCTAATGGATCCTTCCCAAATCAGCATATTCTGTGATTCTCTGTGTTGAGTTAAATCCCCCAAAAATTACAACAAAATGCATGAACGTGCATAAACCTTCCAGGGCTTAATCTGTAAAAACAACTAACTTCTTGTGTAGCACACAGAAGCCTTTTGAGAACATACTGTATGCCACAACCAGACTCAAAGCAGGACAAGGAGACAAGAGGAAAACCCTTTTTGCCTGGTACTTGAAGGTCAAATGTCAGAGAACCAACTGATGACCAAAGCTGTAATTTGCCCAATGTTCATTTGTCATGAGGATTGATGCCTCCACTCTCCTCACACACAAAGCATCAAATTGTTTTAGTTGTGATTGACATATTTTTTAATTCCTTTTAGGCACAGGAACAAGTGAATATTCTGTAATATTATTTAAAACCATTTTCTCTCCCTTCAAACAAAAGAAAGGAAGCATCTCAGAGGAACACACTGCTAGTAAATAGATGCCCCCATGCACAAAAAGCAAAGGCCAGGGAATGAGAGCAGGAACGCAAAAGTCACTGCAGAAACAGCTTCAGGCTCCACTGAACACTGGAATTACTGGCATGTGACTAAATAAGCAGCTTACAATAAAAGGGGTTAGAGACTTTTAGGAGTGATACAGAAACCAAAAGAACTTAGTGTTCAGGAATTACAGACAGACAGGATACTTAATCCTGGGCTGACACAGGACTAAGAGTCAGTGACTGTTTGCTGGATCACAGTATTTGTTTTCCAGTGCCTAAGACAGCAGAAAAGGATAACTGCAGTTTTCAATTAGCATTCCACTGCCTTGGCCTAAGTGCATTTTGTCTTCGTTTTTTTTTTTGGACAGTACAGCAGGAATGTTGCTGGCAACCACCTCAGAAAAAGCTACAAACCCTGCCAGAGATTTCTATACAGAGACAAATTGGTTGCATACAGGGCTGGGACTGAGCTGTCCTCTGAGGGGTGACTTCCCACACACCTTATCACAGTACTGACAGAAGTAATCTCTGTTGGGTTTGATGATGGGCAACGTGAGCTCTGGCACCTCTTCTATTTTCATGTCTGGATGTCTCTTTGATAAATGATTCACCTTAGGAAAAAGAAACACAGAGAACAAGAACATATTACAGCTGGAAACCAAACAATTGCTGCTTCTCCTAGACACAGGTAACAGCCAAACCAAAAGTGAAGGATGCAAGTCAGCAGCACCAGAACCATTTGCTGCTGCAAGGGCTATTGTGCACTCACAGTTGCTGCTGAAGGTAAACGTGGTCTTGCTGGATGTCATTTACAGTTTCTCGAATCAAAATAAGATGGGAAGGGGTAAAATAGCTGGCCAGAACTGTCCTGAAGCTGACAGTGAGGTAGTGTAAAGGGCCTTTGCCCAGATCACAGCCCCCACGAAAGCTTTGCAAACAAGAGCTCTTGCTGCAGAACAGCCTTCACCCAGAGGCAGTGACAGGGCATGGCCAGGAGAGGCCCTCAAGAAGGAAAACACAGGAAAGAGAGTAAGAAAACTGAAGCTGTAAGGCTGAGCTAGGCAGTATTTTCATCTCATGTTCTGTTAAATACATTACACATCAGTCAGCATTACTTAGTGTTGAAATATAGGAGTGACAACCAGACACACAAGGCAGGCAGTCAGATGTGCAAAGACACATTTGCTGAAGAGATAAGACACACAGGTTTAAAAAAAGATGTATCACCTCAACTCAGCTCTAAAATTCACCCTGTTTCACAGCACCCTGGCTGAAAAGACCAGGCTGGACAGGGCTCTGATCAAACTGGTCTAGTGGAAGATGTCCCTGCCCATGGCACGGGGTTGGAGCAAGGTGAGCTTTAAGGTCCCTTCCAGCCCAAAGCTTTCTATGATCAACAGCATTCCAGCCACTGGAATTTCATCTTCCCTCCTGCACTACTGATCAGGCTGCAGGCTGTGGGGGCAGGCAGGCACTCACCAGCATGCCCCTGCGGCGGAAGCCCATCATGCACAGGCGGCACTTGAACATGAAGCTCTCGTAGTCGGTGGACGCGATGCGGGGCTTGAAGGTTTTCGAGCGGCTGATCCGATCGGCCTTCTTGGCCTCCCTCTCCGGGTTGTGCATCCTCTGCATGTGCTCCCGCAGCTTGTCCTTCCTCTGGGAAACAGAATCGGGGAGAGAAATGTCAGCACCACCCCAGTGACTGCCTTACGACCTGTCATGGTCAGTTTTCAGGGATCTCTCTCCAGCTTCTCCTCTCAGAAAAATGTGTTTCTTCACCCAAAAGTGTCCAGTCCCTCCGTGTCCCATCACAAACTCAGTGACAATGAGCAGGCTGCTGCCACCACAGTTTACCTGGCTCACAGTCCGCTCCATCTGTTGTGGTGGGATTTGGAAAGGCATCTGGATGACATGCTGACAGGATGGATGCCATGGACACAGGCACCTCTGTCAGGAATACGATTAATTCACTGCTATCAGCAAGAACTTTCTTTACTGAACTGATATAAACAATACAACCCAAGCACCTGGATGATGATCCAGTTCTTAATGAGCAGATAGAAAGTTCCTTTGCTGTTAAATTATTAGAAAATAAGATCTGTTTGAGATAAGATGCTGGGGTGGTCTTGCCCCTTAGGAACGGATGTTGTAGCTCACCTACACCACCAAGCAGTACATGCAACTTGCAGGCAAGCCTACCGCATTTACACATAATATTTGCTTCCACCTTTGAGAACGTGAGCTTGTCTGCTTGAAGGAGGGCGAGGAATGCTGTTTGTTGCATCAGGAATGGTCCAGCCAAGGAGCCAGCTCACCTTGAACTGCTTGCCACAGGTGGAGCACAGGAAGTCCTTGCGGTCCGAGTGGCGCAGCATGTGGAGCCGCAGCTTGTCGGGCCGGCAGAAGGCCTTGTCACACTCCGTGCACTGGTAAATCTTCTCCGAGTGGAAACTGCGCACGTGCTTCTTGACCTGGAAGGGCAGATCACACGAAAACGGAGCTTATGCAAGGGAGGAGTGAGTGGTAAAACAGTCCAGGAAACTCTTTTCAACAGGAAAGACAGGAAAAAGGTTTTGAA